AAAGAGGAAAGAAAAAAAATAAAGAGAGGAAAGTTGTGGGTGAGGAAGGGATGAAAGGAAAACTGAAATCCAGATCACATGATACCCCCGCCTCTCCATCCATCCATCCATCCAACACTTTACAGCTCTGGCAATCCGACGATAACAGATAAATAATTAAAGACTGCGGCTACTATTTTATTTATTTATTTGAATTCACGTGCAAAGTTGCCGAGAAGTTGGTGCCAAACAGAGGAAGAAGAAGCAGAGGGAAAAAAAGCGCATCGTGCAGACACCTGCTCCCGACTCTTATCTCCTTCTTTGTGCACAATCCAATCGGTCGCAGCCAGGATCTTTTTCTTTTTTTTTATACCTCTCTCTTCTTCTCCTCCTTCTTCTTAAGTGTGAGTGGCCACGAATAGTGTGGGCATCTCGTAACACTATCTGTCTGTCAGGAGGGGCCCGGGGACCCTTGCAATGGAGTAAGGGAGGCTATAAAAGGCTTGTAACCAGGGGACAACCAACAAACAACCACAAACACCCTAGTTATTTCTCTCCCACCACCCACCCACCTCTAGTTTTCCCCCCTTTCCTCGTCTCCCTTTTTTCTCTCCTCTCTCTCTCTCTCTCTCGCCCCCCTTTTCATCTCAGGCCCTTTTTTTTCTTCCTGATGCTGAATGCAAATGTGTGAGCCCTGCTGCTGGCGGCGAAAGGGGCTGAATTGTGATTAAGAGGGAGAAGAAGGAGGAGAAGAAGAAGGAAAAGAAGAAGGAGGAGAAGAGGAGCTCCTTTTCTTTGTTCCCCCCCACCCCTCTCTACTCTCCTCTTCCTCCCTCCCTCCTCCTCCCCCCGGGGGGATGTTTACCAGGAGAGACGCGGCGGATCAGATATGAAAGGCATTCAGGTCAGCATTGATGTGAGCGAAAGTGAAATCGTACCTAAGGCATTCCAAAGACCCGCGGTGTCAGGGGGTCCGGGCTCGCCGTGCCTCTGTGAGTGTGTGTTCTCTGGCCGCCAGGCGGAAAAAATATCTCCACACAAGTAGGCAGGGCGGTCGAGGAGGAAGGAGGAAGAAGAGGAGGAAGGAGTTTTTTTGGTTTTTTTAAGAAAAGAAGTGTAAAAAAA